AATAGTTTTTGGCGCTCACTGCTTGAATACGAAAAGAATTCTCTCTTAATATAAAACCAACAAATTACTTTCTTATGATAATAAAAAACTATTCAGTTAGACTTTGAATTGTTTTGCATTTCATAAAAGAAAATAAGATATATAGTCCGAGATTTTTAAAAGAATCTTAGAATTGGACCGCGCTATTCTTGAATACAGCAATTGAACTCAAGACCTGCAGAAATGACGAATAAAGCCGGTTTTCGTGGAAACGTAATCTCCAAGAGACAGAAATCATGCAGTATAAAAGCCAAAGAAAACAAACACTCATAGCGTTGTATTTCTTTTCTATAAATAAAACAAATGAATGAAATGATGTGACGTTTTGATAACACTGCTACATTTGAAAGTCGCTAATTACTGTAAATAACTCTAATTATTACATACGTTGGGCGTCATTCGACAGTAAGTCAAACCAGTAAAATACACCGGTGAAGAAAATGGAAGCGTTATGCTTAAAAAGAAGTAGGTACAGAGAAAGGGAAGGAGAGAGAAAAGAAAACTGAGAGCGAGAGAACGGAAGAGAAAGAGCCAGAATTATAAAATATTTGAGATTTAACGCGCGCGCTGATTGACTGGCTACCGTGTTTATATCAGAGGACAGAGACACGGTCGTGCAAAATCATTCGAAAGTATTTTATAAAAGGGATATAAAACGGCTGCTTATGTCTTTGTACCGTATAAATATAAACACTCTGAGAGCAGGAAGAGCACTCGCAAAGCAAGAGAAATACTCGGCTGCGTCTCGTCGTTCCTAAGCTTGCTTCTCTCGTGCTCTACAGCTACCAGCATGTTTATACACCCTTCTCATAATGGCTGATGAACGCACGGAAACGAGGTCACCTAGTCATCTTGCGAGGTTGAGCCAAGTTGCTCATTCAAAATAAAGGCTGTTAGCGCTAATTCAGATCAAAACAAAGGTCATTTTTTTATGCTTTTCTTCTTTAAGGTCATTTCATGTAATTTTATATCTTTTATCGTGAAATAATTACTGGGTGATCTCGTTTTCGTGCACTTGTCAGCCATTATGAGAAGGGTGTATATTACAGTACAGAGACATGCGCACGCGCTTTCTATTTCTTAAAAAGAGAAATACTATACTGCTAAACAATTTTAWAATAATTGTGAACTCAACTGAGGCAAATTTCTTATAATTTATAGCATACACGTAACATATAAATTTTATAATAGACTACCAAATTTACTAGAGTGTGTTTTTGTAAACTATTTCTTTACAACGTGTAATACTGCATATTTTATGGTTTTACATACCTTGGGCTGTATCATCTGCTGCAAATCTTTCGAATTCTTCATCTAGTTTCCTGATGCATTAAAGATAAGAAAAACATGACATATTGCACACGTCTAGTCAAGCAGCAAATGAGTTGTGAATAAAATGGAATAAACCTATTTCCGAGCTTACGGTTATTTTGGTTTCCGCAAAGAATTAAGACGAAAAATACGTTTGATGTTCGAAGAGACAGAGTTTCAGTTGATTTAGTTTGAACGTTTTGATTTGTTTGTAATTTTGTGCCATAGTTAATCCATAAATGAATTACTTTGAATCATTTCACTTGGCAGTGGCAAGGGCGGATCCAGCTAAAATTTTAGGGGGGGGGGGCTAATTGAGTTTCTTCCGTCAACACGATGGAAAACAATAAAAAAAGCATCTAATTCTTCAGTTTTTTTTGTTTTTTTTAAGCCCCCCTTTGCCAACCCCCCCACCCCCCCCTGGATCCGCCCTTGAGTGAGGTAGTCATTTATTATCGCTCAACGACCCAATTAACTTACCTTCTGGTCAGCTTTTTGCCTGTTGTAAGGAAAATATTATTATCAGTATACCTATAACGTCTACCTTTAGTAGACCCATTTCAGCAGGGTATCAAAAATAAAATAATAAAAATCTCCGCCGTGTGGCTCGCGTTAAGCTTATTGAATCTCGGGTTCCTCATACTCGTAATCAGATGTGAGCAGAGTTTGTTAGGTCTCTCCATTGGATTCCAAGGGTTTCTTTCCTCTCCAAAACCCAAGATTAATCCCAACTCGATCTGCGACTTGGTCCAGTGCGCTTCCAGAATTGTTTTCAGTTTTTAAAAGGCAAAAGTGCTATTGCTTTGTCATGTCAGTGGCAAATCTAAGGGGGGAATCTCAGTGAACCCCCCCCCCAAATCCCTTTTCAAAGTCCTAGATTCCTAACTATATTTGTTTTACGGCCACGGGTAAGTACTGCGGCTTTGTAATTCCATCGTCGGGATATCATCCTTATTCCTTTCGTATCTTTTGGGATACTCATGAATTTTTCGAATCGTAAAAACAAAAGAAAATGAATCCCCTGGAGGTTTGTCAGGCTTAATTGGGAAAACATTGTAACACCACAAATAAGGTATATTCACTCATGGTTGTAAGCTGCCAGCTGCTAAGAGCGCCTTAGCCCGTACAAGTCCTCGAGTCATAAATGTAAAGCGCATTGAGACAATGTGAAATGCACTATAAAAGCACCTTCCATTATTATCATTATCATCATCATCATCATCATCATTATCATTATCATTACTATTCATAATATTCTGCCGCTGCACTTACCTTTCTCCTCGTCTTCATCCTCGTCTGAAAAGTAAATAAGACATCATTAAACACCTTACATTCGAGCAGAGGAGTTCCAAGGAGACTCTGCTAGCAGGGTATAAACACCTTGGCCCGGTCGTACGAAGCCTGGATAGCGCTATCCAAGGAATAAATCTTATCCAGTGGATAAATTTATTGGAAAACAGCATCGACTTATCCACTGGATAAGAATTTATCCGCGGGATAGCGCTATCCAAGTTTCGTACAACCGTGCCCATACATTTTAAAAGAAGCATAGGTCTTCTGAATGCAATTAAATTCTTAAACATTGAAGGAAAACATGGTACACGGTAAAACGGGTGGTTTTGGCATTACGGTTTTGAATTAACGGATATACGGGATTACGGGTTTTGAATTACCGAATACGGGATTACGGGTTTTGAATTACCGGAGATATGCAACTCTACTCAATTAATTAGGGATCCATTCGAAACCAGGATAAGGATAAGGCAGCAAAAGGGAAGTATTAGTAGTATACACTAATCGTGCTCCCCTATCCCCCACCCAAGGTGAAAGTACTTACCTTCAGAGCTCGACGAACCAACTATCAGGCTGATTCCTCTTTGGCGAAGTTTCTTTGTCACGAGAAATGAGTAGTTTTTTTGAGATGCAAACGCTTCTTCGTCTAAGGACGATAACATCATGAAAATACTTTATTCATTATCCAAATTCAAAACTCGCACCGATGTGAGGCTTCGTGACTTTTGAATCACGCCAGAATGCTTTGAATCACGCAAGATCCCTTTGTTCACAACTTAAGCCTCACATCGGTGCGAGTTTTGAATTTGGTCTATTATCCACCAAGAATAATCGAAAAATTGATTAATTAGAATTTTTCTTAATAGACGGTTTTCTCAAGGTTGCGCGCGCATCCGAATTTAAGGGACTTGACGGGCCACGATATATATAACAGGAGCTTATAATGAGAATTATCATACATGTCTATGAATTTTTTTAAGGATTCATTAAATTAATTATTCTCCTCTTTAAATATAAAACTGGCTTCTCGGTTTTACTAAATTTGCGTTTTTCATTTTTGTGGCCCGTGAAGTAGGATGCGCACGCCGAAAACGGTCTATAGCCACTAAAAGATCTCTTTAACTCGGGCGTAATGTTTTTTTATTTGAGACCACTGTTATTCCCTAGAGTATCATTTCTTTGTTTAACGGTTGCACATGAGAACACACATGGATATGGGATATGACTCAAACGAAGAATCTTATTCTCGAGGGAATGGTGAACACGTGGTCTGAAATGGGAAAACATTACGCCCGAGTCGAGGAAGTCTATTCATGTGTCTTCTCATGCGCAACCAATAAATAAATAAAATATACTCTAGGGAATAACAGTAAAACATTACGCCTAAGCTAAAAAGGGATATTGAGGGGAGGATCTAAGAAGCTTTACTTGATGCCTTCGCCCCTCCTGTGCAGGATTGCTAAAAAATATAGGAAATAGGATTTCTACACTGAGCAAATCAACCTAGATCTGTCCCTAATTTTTTTTTTTTTTTTTTTTTTTTTTTTACATCAGCTAAACAAATATTCTTGGCAAGCAAAAAACGACGTATCAAACAAATTCAGTTTACACGAGACACCTGAGCAGAAAGTAAACCTACAAAGACACCTACAAACCCTTAGAAATATAATGAAGGGCAGACATCTTACTGCTAAGCCACCTACTACTAAGGCACGTATAATTTATCTTACCTTTTAACCTCATAACAGCACTATGCTGTACCGTGTCACTGCTGTTATTAGGAAAACGTTCATCTTGATCAACGATAGTAACAGGAACATCATCAGACATTAACCCATCCTTCTCTCCTTCCGAACTGTCCACGTTTTCCAACGACTGTGAAGGCGACAGTGAGGGTGTGCTGGAACTAGAAGTGACAGGCGTGGAGGGAGGGGAAGGTAGAATAAATTGCTCCCAAGCATCGACATCTGAGAGATCCATACTAGGTACAAAACGCTGAAGATTGGTTGGTGATCGCCGCTGGAAACTTTCAAAATTCTCTTTACTATCGTTCGGAGTCTCTTTGTATTTATGCGTTGAGTATGGCGACAACGGAGGGGAAGGAAGCGGCGATGGGTTGGGAGTGACATCTGGGGTACCAAGTACGACCAGGTTTTCCTCCGTGAACGGGACTGTTAACATCTCGCTTAAATCCACCAACAAACTCGTCGGTACACTCCCTATCAGTCTCTCCGTCTCTTCTGCAGCCTGCCCATTATTTTCAAACGACAGCAAAGAACCGCCATTTTCACACGATGGCGTGCTACTGCGGGAATCACTGAGACTAGAGACATCAGATTCGGTAGACGCTGATTGGGTTGTTTGGGTGGATGTTTTGGGTAGATCGACATAGCATCTCCATCGTTTATTAGGCAGTTGACCAAGTATATTGATTTGGGTGTTTTGGGGGATCAAGGATGAGGTGTAGCCAGGAATGAGGTAATAATCCATCTTGGTTCTAGATTTGAACTCGGAAACTTCGATCACTGAAAGATATAATATCATCTGTAAGGAATACAAAACATCTCAATAATGCGCCGCCTCTCACTAATGCGACCCGAGTTCGAGTCCTGCCGATCTTGATGTCGTATGTGAGTAGAGTTGTTTGTTGGTTCTCTCTTGTGTAGTATGTGAGTAGAGTTGTTTGTTGGTTCTCCTGTGCTGTGAGGGTTTTTCCTCCGGGTTCTCCGCTTTTTCCTCCCTCCACAAAAATCAACTTCTAAATTCTAATTCAATCTATCGGTTGCCTTATCAATTAGGTCGCAAGGCCTGTTAGGCATTACGCCGTCCACCCAGGAGTGGTAAACGCATTAGAGAGTTTAAGCATCAAGTTTAATGGCAACGTGAAACGTTAGTTGACAAGCAAACGATATTCAGAATTAGTTAAGAAAATCAAAAAAATCTCCAAGTAGTAGATAACTAAATTAATATTTTTCTTTGGTGAGAAGGTTTGCAAAAGGTAAAGTGAAATACAGGGAAACGATAACCAAAAATGTCCATATCTGCCGTTTGCGAGAAGAAAAATCATGACGCTTATACTCTGTCTATTGCCATTATAAATCCTGTATGATGGTAAGCAAACTGTACTTACTTTCACCAGATTCCCCGTTACCAATGAATGCTCTTTCGCCCTCTTCGAGAATTTTTAGTAACTCTTGCTTAATTTTTAGTGTTTTCTATAAAAAAAAAAAATCTATATCAAAAATAACACATCCACACAAACCCGCCGAGGGCGATTTTTTCCAGTCCCCTGGAGAATAATGTCAACGTGTAAACGATCGCTGTCGTACTAACTTGTACGATTGCAAAATACTCAGAAACAAAAGACCCAAGCACATAAGGATTAAAGTGGTTTGATGCCGCCTCGTCCATTTTAAATCACCCCTCCTTACATGGTCTCATGGTCTCAGAGACTTACAATCCAAGACGGAGGGCCACCTAGAATTTTCATTGGAATCTTTGGAATTCCTGACAACTTATAGGTTCCCAGCAAAAGGATAACAAGAACGCACAGAATATTACTAGAACAACTTTATCATGGTGATCTTTCTTACCAACAATTTTTCTAGTCGCGGGTCTGGGGGAGGTTTCTCTGGGACTTCGTAACTCTCTTCGTCTCCTGTAAGACAGATGGGTATGTCATGGTGTCATAATGATAACACTAAGATAACGCAAGGCATGAATATGACGCAACACATGAAATAAGGCAAGGTTACAGCAGCGGTCACTGCACGGTAACGCAAGTTATGGATTGTGGCTAGGCACCGCATTGTCACGGAACGGTAACTCAAGGTAAGGATTATGGCATGGTATCGCAGCGGTCAGTGCACGGTAACGCAAGGTATGGTTTATGGCAAGAAACCGCAGCGGTCAGCGCACGGTAACGCAAGGTATGGATTATGGCAAGGTACTGTAACGCAAAGTATGGATAATGGCAAGGTACCGCGGCGGTCACCGCACTGTAACGCAAGGTATGTATTATGGCAAGGTACCGCGGCGATCACGGAACGATAACGCAAGGTATGGATTATGGCAAGGTACCGTAGCGGTCAGCGCACGGTAACGCAAGGTATGGATTATGGCAAGGTACCGNTAACGCAAGGTATGGATTATGGCAAGGTACCGTAGCGGTCAGCGCACGGTAACGCAAGGTATGGATTATGGCAAGGTACCGATAGGGGAAAACTGTGCCCTCGATCTTGAAAACGTACCGCGACCGTTTATATATTCAAGATCTAGTACACAGTTTTATGAGGATCTCCTGCTCAATAAATGATAACATATATATATACGAGCTGTCTCACCTTCCATCCCGGAATCTGTATCATCCTTAACATCTGAATATTTCCTGACAAATATTAAAACATCATTATTTTAAAATCTTATTTGTGGAAATCCGGAGGGTCTATCCACGGAAGATCGAGTCTCCAAACATCAATCAATAAGCCACTCCACGCTTTCGTCAGCCATTATGAATTAGAGCAAACACGGCAAAATATATAGAAATTTTTTTACTTTCCGTAACTCCGCTCAATTTCGATCTATATGGTTGGCATAGTAATGACAATAGCTTACGTCACAGCAATTAGCGCTATTACCAAACATTTAGGGGAGCAAGTGCTCCCTTGCCCCACCCCCTTTCTACGCCAATGAAAAGAGCATTTGATAGCAGGCTGTTGTGACGTATGGTTTTTGGAACATTTTGTAGCACAATAAAATTATTACTGCGGGTTTCGATATTCTGCATACTCAGACATTTAAACAGCTTGTTGTGAAATTGTTTTCTTTTTATACTGCCGTCAGTCATGAATACAAAAGGTACCGACTGATTATTTTTCAGCGTGCAGCTCGCAACTACCATGTTACGCAGTAAAAGAACCTATACTTACAGTTCTGGAGCCACAGTCTGGTACCGTCTTGATTCAATTGCTAACAGCTTCGCTTCTTGTAGTTTTTTGTCTAGATGAAAACAGAGTGAACAAAAAATAAATAAAGGAACCCCGCAAGTGAAGTTCTGAAATGCATAAACTTAGCAGAATTACTTTGTATTTTTCTAATTTTTTTCTTCTCTGGGCTTTCTGTCTCAAGCAAAGATAGAGGGGAAACTGAGCAGAGTTAGCTTTCGATAAGTCAGTAGGCTCTAACGCACGCCTCTTGGCCAAAATTACAGCGACATAGCGGAGAGAATGTTACACCCGCCCGTTGGAGATTCTAAGAATCACTGAGACGTCACAGCTCTATCAACAAGCTGAAAGTACATTCTAGAGCTCTCAGAGAGCTCTGGCGTATTGCCATGAATTATCGTTCAGCACGGTCTCTACATCTTTATCTAATTCAGTATTTCTTTATTTCACAATTTTCTCCAATTATACTTTCTACACATTTTACACGACTACACACAATTAACAGATACATAATAAGTACGCTCAACTGATAACATTTTTTTCGTGTACTTTTTTAATTGCGTGTATGATGTATCGTGTTTAAAAATACAAAACTGTGAATTGAATATATTTAAGCCGATTACGTATGGATTCCAGCCAACATCACAAGACTGTTAGTGAATGGCAAAACGGACTTCCCTTATTCAAAATCAGTTTTATACGTCATATACAAAACCTTTTTCCAAAAATGCTATTTTTTACTTTGTAACATGCTTTGGTTTCAAGATACGAAGCATTTGTTTGCTATTCAGCGGAGCCTTAGCGATACATCAGCACGTGACTGTTTGATGCAAATGGCCTATAAGGGACTGTTTTTACGAACATTGGGGGCCGATGGAGGGGGCCACGTAAACAAATATGGCATTTAATTTGTGGGGGGAGGGGGGAAGGGAACATCACAAAAATAATTAGGTAAATAAATAAAATTATTTCAAAAATTATCCTGCTTCAATGGGGTGCCACTCAAAAAAATTAAGATGGCTGCCTACTTTTAAACGTTCGACTTCAGCCCACGATGTGCGCGCGCTCAAATTGAGACCGCTGAAAAATCTACAAGATGTTATTGAAGAATCATACGTGTTTTGAGCTTCAACAGGGCAAAATCCTCGAATTTTGCACAGGACTCTATTTTCTAATAGCTCATTCGAAAAAACTCCTAAGAATCTAGGTTATATCAACATTTTAGAAAAAGTTCAAACACATTACAAACCCATGAAAAAATAGGTTTTTTTAGGGATTATTGTTCGACTTTATGCGATTTTTAAAAGCACCGGAACAATAAAATATGACAAATCAATGTATTTCTTTGTCTTTTTGTCGAAAGTATCTATGTATTATTGTATAATGATTGACTAGCCTTCATTCGTGCAATCATATAGTCTGCAAATAATTATTATCTTATAAATCTTAATTTTTTTCTAATCACTTCCGGTGGCGCAAGTTTTGCTCCAAAAGCTCGTGCGTTGGCTTCCACTAAATGCTGATAATCTCGAAAACAAGCTCGGGACACCCAAGTTTTCTTTCCAGACTTGGAATCAGCATTAAATTTCAATTCGGAAAATCGACGTTTTAAAAAAGGTTTAAATCGTTTTCCAAAAGTAGGCAGTCACCTTAAGGTTGAGAAGGGGTCATTTTTACTTACAATTCACAAAATCCCACCAGACCCCCACCCCAATGCCCGTAAAAAATAAACGGTCCTTAAGTCGAACCTGGTACATGTCACCTTGACAGATGTTCTAAACAAAATATCTTTGAAGTAACTTATGAAACTTACCGGAGTTAGAGTTATTCTGAAAGGAAAAAAAATGGAGCACAAAGTTAGTAACCATAACATGTTAGAGGGGGAGAAAGATTTACATTGCTCAATTCCGAGGGAAAAAAAACAAAAACAAACAAAAACAAACAAAAACAAAAAAAACAAAAAAAAAAACGCAAAAGAATCTCAATCTTTTGAGAATTGCTAGCTTATTGTTATGTTCTCCAAATTGAGATGCATTCTGACATGCTGCAAGGGGTCTATTATAGTGGCCTACTCACCTCTGGTGTCTTGGGATCTAATCCTAGACTCAGTAGCTAGGACCTGGTTGGCATCAGGTGAGCCTAATGTTCGGGGTTTTCCCTTGAGGTTTTTTTCCAACCTTAACTAGTCCCGTTACTCCGACGAATGACTAGCGTCCGAAACGTCAGTAAGTTTTTTCATCTTTTCACGGTGTATAATTTACCTTTTCATCATTACTGTTTCATTAGAAACACCGACGCAGCTCACACTAGTTTTTAGCTAGTTATATCTTTTTAGTCCTGTTATATAATGTCTAAGTCCACATCCAACCATTCCCTTGACTATTAGGCTTTGTTCTATCTCATTAAAGACCCATTTCCACTTACCGTGATGCACCGCGGTCACAGATGAATTTCGTGGTCCACGAAATTCAAAGATTCATATATTGAATAATAACGTCATATTAAACTCTTATCCGACATAGCACTAAGGCACAATAATGATTCTTTTACATTCATCTAAGAGTTTATTCAAAAGGTTGGAATTGGTTTTTCAGTGGTGACACGATTCAAAATATAAACAAATTGTGATGCATCACGGTAAGTGGCAATGGGTCTTTCATGCATCTTTATGACAGTACCTGTGGGTTATTAGCCATATCAATGCCTTCTTCTATCTTGCTTATCCTAAAAGAAAATAATAAGCCATGAAATTAAAATTCCAAAAGATATCTTGTACCCCTCTACAGCTTCTTGATATCATTACCCCTCCTTAGTCCAATAAAAAAGATTAAATTCCCTTTTGATCTGATGTCACATCCTTTAGCACTGAGGATTGTGCTAGACAACTTATGTCATACAGTATATCGCCTACGACTCCTGCTTCTCCTTACACTTCTTTTGTGCTTACTCCACTTCCTGCGTGCTTTATTACTGAATGTAGCACAGAAAAAGCTGTTTTATTCCTTTTATTACATAGCTACAAATGTTTTTCAGTATTTAATTTATTTATGCAAAAAGAAAGATGGTCACAGGATCAGAAGCACTTTTCACTCGTGGATGGTGTCAGCACTGCGCTCCATTCAGTAATAAAGCACGGCTTTCAACTAATCAGTATTATCCTGACTATATAATAATTTCTTATAAGGAGACTACTTAGTATTTAATTTGCCTTATTTTCTACATCATATCTTATTCCATTTAAAATCTATTTCTTCATATATTGATTATTGGATACTGTAAAATCTTGCTTCATTGGTGAGTGTTGATTGTGGGGGAGGGATGGGGGGAACTTACAACAGGAAGGTTGAAACAACTGAAACTGAAGGAAAATGAGTTTTGGATGATAAGGAAATTTTCGTAATCATAGTTATCTATACAAAGCAAATTATCAATCACTTGGCCTGTACAGATATATTTCAGATGTAACCTTCCACAAGCTAATCTCTTTACGTGTGTAAAACTACTTTTATTTATAATAAAAAAATCAAACTGCTATCTTAAATCTTGTCTGATCTCCTTCGACACAAACCCATGGTGGGTTAACAATAAGGGGTGAGAGGCTTTTAATCGTAGGGTACATGTGTTAAGCTAACAGGCTAGTGGGCTTATAATCTGGGGTGCAGAAGGGTGCTTATAACCAGGATTTACTCTATGAGTAATGGTACATACCATCTGTACATGCTTCCCTTAGAAGGTGCTTCAAACAGGTACACTGGTGAGTCAATACAGTTAACAACTTGTAGCTTGAAAACATTATATTTTGGAGGCTCACTCTTTCTACTTTTCTTCTTGGTTTTCACCTGAAGAAAAACAACCAGAAATTTATTACTTCATGATAACAGCCGGCTTTTATCATCATCATCATCAGTCCTTACAGTGTCATGGGTTGCATAAGCTCATTACAGTTTCTATAGTATTTTTTATGGGAGTGTGTGATATTAGCCCTCTGCCCAACCACCAACCTATATATGTATGCCATCAATCACATACACAAGGCCTTACGGTTCCAGTAATATTTTTTTTAAGGGAGTGGGTGATATTAGCCCTCTGCCCAATCACCAGCCTATGCCATGAGTCACATTTAAGGCCTTAGGGCTCCAGTGGTGAGTATGAACCACCAACCTATTATCACAACAGGCGGTATACCAACCAATTAATATCCATACTATGCCATCAAAAAAACATCAATTATTCAGAATACAGGGAAGCTGTTGTACTGTATACATTAGACAATGTGCTCTGAATGTTATCCATCAAGTTGACTCATAATTTTGTTTAAAAATGTAGAAAGATTGTCACAGAATCATAATGGCTCTACTTGCTATGCAGCTACTATTTTCCCTTATAGGCCTTCATTACCATCTATTTGTGCTACATGTGTAATTATATAGAACACATACTGCACGAATCCTAAAAATTCCTCCTCCTCCTCCTCCTCCTCCTCCTCCTCCTCCTCCTCCTCCCCTCCTCCTCCTCCTCCTCCTCCTCCTCCTCCTCCTCCTCCTCCTAAACCTGTACACCCCTTATTGGGTATAGGCCATCAACAACATCTGAATGCCACAGAGCCCTGTCCTTTGCTTTGTCCTCTAGCTGTTTCCAGGTATGCCCCAGCCTAACCCTAAAAAATGAGGCTTCTTTATTTTTACCTTGGTACTATCCCATATGCTGATGGAAGCACCCTTCTTCAAAACCAGGAAGGCTTCTTTCTTTTCATTCTATGAAATATGTAATGACGAATGACATTCTTAACAGAGTGGTCATAACAAGAGATACAGACAGACAGTTAGACACAGAAAGAAACAAAAAAGAACAAACAAGGAAAGGAAGGTAGGAAGAAAGAAAGTCAGGGACTGTGGGAGGAACAGCTTTTGTTGTGTATTAGATAAGCATATGAAATTGAAAAAGCTACGATCTTTAAATGGAATTTCTGTGCACAACTTACTTCAGCTGTTGGTCCAATTACTTTAGATGGAGGTGGGCTTGAAGCTAACTCTGGACTGAGACTTAGATCCTAGAAAAAAATGATATTTATGCAGAGGTTACAAATAACTGAATCAAAGATAGATTTCAAGACCTTAAATATTGTAATATGCACATCATTCTATGCAACAAAACCTACCCTATATAGCCTTAGTGTTGATCCACAAAGATCCACCCAATAAGTTTTCCAAGTTAACTCCTGGAAAGAAAAGGGCTTTTTTTAAAATTGTAAGTAAGCTTTTTAAGCTGTAAGTATTTAAGTAGCTTTTCCCTCCTACAACTTTGAGATTTTGCATACTAAACTCCTTCCACACTGGAATTAGGATTTTTACTTGAAAAAACTTTGTCATTCTTGATTGACAGCAGTTAAAAACACAACAGAAAACAAGAAAAAAAAGCATCTAATTCTTCAGTTTTGTTTTGTTTTTTTTTTCTGCTGAAGGGGGGCTTCAGCCCCCTTTTGCCCCCCCCCCCCCCCCCCTTGATATTCATACACG